CCCCTTTTTCTTCTTCTTCTTTTTCCGCCTCTCCTCCTCCTCTTTCCGCGTCTTCGAATCGGCACCGGGAACCGGGCCCTCCCTTTCGGCCGCCCTTACCCCCCTTGCGGGGCGGGAGGTAGCCGTAGGAGCGCTATTACGGGCCCCAGCGCCGATTGCGTCGGCCAGCATACTCCTTATTTCCAGGAGTTGCCGGTTCATGCCCTCCTGGCACGCATCGACCGCCTCCTTGATCTTTCTCCCCACCATCGCCTCGAGCTCCTTCTCGCTCGTCGGCATGCGGGGATTTCTCGCCACCGGCCGGGTACGGCTCGGCACCGCCAGGGGGTGTATTCCTCCTCCGACGACGAGGATGAAGAGGGGAGGGGAATCGTCGCTATTCCCCTCCGTAAGGGATTTCTCCCCCTCCCCGTCCCGGCGGTCCCATCCTCCCCTCGGCGGGGGAGGGGGCCTGCTGCTTTGGCGGCATTGGTGGTATCGGCCACCCCAGACCTCCCCTTTCCGCCTCCGTCAGGTCCAGCCGTCCCCCCTGGCAGCCAGGGTGGGGGCCATCGCATGGACCCTCATGTCCTCCTGCGAGAGTCGCACTGTCTCCGGGGGCGTCATATCCATCACCTCCTCTTCTCTCTCCCCAGGGGGCAGGAGGGGGGAACCCGGTCTCTCGAGGGGGGAGGGAGGGGGGACTTATTTCCCCCCTCTCCTTTTCTTTTCGGAGGAGCTCCAGCTACCTACGCAGGAGCCTATTCTCCTCCTCGAGCCCCTCCCCCTGGGTTGCGCTGGCCCTCGTGTAGAGGGCATCCGCCGCCATCTGTACGAAGAGGGCCCCGTCCCTCAGCGTCCTGACGTAGCCACCCTTCAGGTTTCCCGAAGTGGTGGCCACGCGATCGATCCCGATGGCCGTTTCCAGCATCCGTGCCACCAGGTCGCTGGAGGGGATATTGGGAACCTCTTCCCGAAGCTCCCTCTCCAGCTTTTTCCTGGCGGCGGCGTATTCCCTGGGGTTAGAGTTCCCCTCCAAGATCCCCTCCAGGATCGCTTTCTGCTCCCGGATCTGCCGTTGCAGATCCGTGAGCTCTCGGCGCGCCCGTCGCCTGGCCGCTATCCCGACCCCCTCGCCGGTGACCACCGGCCTTCCAGGCCCTCTGGCAGGGGGATGCGTTGCTACCTTTGTGGTGCTACGTCCAAAGAATTTAATGATATCGACAAGATGTTGCAAAGACCGATTAATAAAGATCGCATCGAATTCGGAATATCGTCGCTGCATGCTTGGATACGGTTTTTTGAATGTTGCTTGCATGTAGCTTACAAATTAGAAATACAAAAGTGGCAAGGGCGCAAAGGGCGCAAACAGGATAAAGAAAATGTTGATAGAAGAAAAAAAATATACAACAAGGTTTTCGTGACAGATTAGGGTTTCTTGTTGATCAACCGAAACCAGGCTATGGAACTTAAATGACGAAAATACAGCTCGGAGTTTTTTTCGAAAATTTTGAAATTTACGCTTCAATAACGGGAATTGATGAAGAATTGATAAAGCGATTTCATGTTGTATTGCAGGTAATTTCTTGTGGTTTCGAAATCAATATACCCAAATTTCGCAAATACACTGAAGATACTGCACGAAAATTTGTCGAACTCTATTCGTGGTACTTCATGCCAACAACAGTACATAAAATTCTTATTCACGGTCACGGAATTGTGGAATCTTCGTTACTTCCTATCGGACAAATTTCTGAAGAAGCTCAGGAATCATGTAACAAGTATATTAAAAGATTCCGAGAAGATTTTTCACGAAAATGTGACCGCATCAAAAACGTGGAAGACATTTTTTGCAGACTTTTAGTAATGTCAGATCCAATAATATCCAGTTTGCGAAAACTTCCTCCAAAGAAACAAAGATCGTTATCCCCATACGCGGTTGAACTATTGATTCCACCTTCAGTTACAGAATCAAGTCAGATTTCTTCAAATAATACGAGCGATGCATCTGACGATGATGACAATTCACAGGATAGCGATTAATTGTAAGAGATGCTAAAATTATATCGATTAGAAATGAAAGAATGAAAGGAATATATTATAAATGTTCATTGTCATTGTAATAATGATTAATTACTTTATTCCAATCCTATTCTTCCCAAATCTTCAAATGTCAACTGTCATTCATTACATTTTCCATTTAATTTATTCACAATCATAATTTCCAAAATTTGACTTCATATTCATTATCAGCAACGTTGAAGACTCCTAAAAAATGAATACCATTTTATTTTTTGGAAATATTTCGAAAATCTCTATGCAGGAACTTTGAAAGAAATTTAATGATTATTCGCCATGGCGCCATTTTTTAGCTCTACTGGAGCCGCGATTTTTTTTTCGAAATTTGACTTCGAATTCGTGGTCAGCGACCCCAAAAATCCCCGAGTACAGACTTTCATCCGAATTAAATACATTTTTGGCCGACTTTTTGGGATTTGGGACCACTGTGCGCCGCAAGGAGATTACAGACTACGCAGTGGATTATTGTACAAGTTTGTTGATGGCTGCGAATTACTGATGGTTTCGCAATCCATGCAAGCTAAGGTTATAAGAAATTCACATAAAAAGGGTCACGTTGCTGTGAAACGGACGGAGCAGGACGTAAAACGGGAGTTTTCTATTTCGAACTTGCGCGGCAAGGTAGAGAGGTGCATCTCAAATTGTTTGAAATATATCTTAATTAACAAGAAAACCGGGAAACAAGAGGGTTTCTTGCATCCCTTTATAAAGGATGATGTACCCCTTTACACCTACCATATTGATCACATGAGACCCTTAGAATCAACTAACAAGAACTACAAGTATATCTTAGCAATAATTGACGCCTTTACCAAATTTGTGTGGCTGTATTCCACTAAGGCCACCACGTCAAAAGAAGTTATACAGAAGTTGGAGTTGCAGAAGAGCGTGCTTGGAAACTCGAGCTGGATTATCTCAGATCGAGGAACGGCATTCACTTCAGCTGAGTTCGAGGACTACTGTCACGAAGAAAATATTCGACACGCGAACATCACTACAGATTTGCCGAGGGCAAATGGTCAAATAGAACGCATCAACCGCATAATTGTGCCGGTGTTAGCTAAGATGTCAATAGAAGAACCTCTTAAATGGTACAAGTATGTATCAAAGTTGCAACAAATATTAAACGCAACTTATCAACGCAGCATAAACACTACGCTTTTCGAGCTTCTGTTGGGAACTAAGATGCGGACTAGCGAATATCTCCAAATGAAAGAGGCTATAGAACAAGAAATAGTATAAGAATTTGAAGATGCCCGAACGCAGTTAAGAGGTGCTGCAAAGAAGCAGATCGAGAACATTCAAGAGGAGAACAAGACACGATACAATCTAAGACGGAAGAAGCCAGAAACGTATCATCTTAACGATTAATTGCGATAAAACGGACACAAGGCTAAAATAAATTCGGACCAGGGCTAAAATTGAAACCGAACTACTTGGGTCCCTATCAGATAATTAGAGGCAAGCCTCATGACACGTATGTTAATAGGAAAGCATGAGGGGCCAGCAAAAACGACCACGTGTGCTGAGTATGTGAAAAAATAGCCAGGAGACTACCCAGACAACCTAGTATCATCCGGGACGAATGATGATCCAGGAGGGCCGAACTGTGGGAACGTAGTATCGATAGTCGAGCGCGATCGATCGACACAAGAAAGAGAGAGAGAGAGAGAAAAGGTGTAATAACACAACACAAACGGACTGTATCTTTCCAAATATACATACATTAGAGATAACAACTAATATTTAACTCGGTCGTGGAGAGGGGATAAAGATGGCGAAGAGGAAGGAGGTTCGGTGCGAGGGTAAAGTGAAAAAGGAGTGGAAGGAAAGGATGGAGTGGAACGATAAGAAAGAGAAGAGGAGGATAGAAGGAGGAGGCGGAGAAGACTCGGCAGACATGGACCCGAGTAGAAAATGAAACACGGCCCTGAAAGGGGCGCGATAGATTTTGCTCTAACGACTGATCAGGTCTTGTTAAGGCAGCCTGATGGCGCCCTGATCAAAAATGTAACGTTGTGTTCCATGTGGCCCTGAAAGCAGTTTCCTGATCAGGCCCGAGTAGAAAATGAAACGCGGCCCTGAAAGGGGCGTGATAGACTTTACTCTATCGGCTGATCAGGTCTTGTTAAGGCAGTCTGATGACGCCCTGATAAAAAATGTAACGTTGTGTTCTAAATGGCCCTGAAAGCAGTTTTCTGATCAGGACCTAGTACTGTGAACTCTTCTCGTGCCCTGTTACTCCTATAGAGCCCTGTACGGGAATTCCGTAACTTGCTATCGAAGTTTTTCGATAACGTGACCTAGGAACCTAGGAACAACCAATGAAAATCTGCGTCTTTTTCGAAGATCGTTCTCGCCATTGGCTGTCGCTAGTTAACGATACCAAAAAGCGTCGATTGCAACTTACAGAATTCCCGTACTGACCTCCTATAAGGGCCTGTAAAGCAAGGAAGAGGGTTTGTAGATTATTGATACAGTAAACCCTCGTTAACACGAACTCGAAGGGACCGCAATTTGAGTTCGTGTTAACAGAGTGTTCGTGTTAACGAGGAAATCTGGCCCCTCGTTAACACGAATTTGTTCGTGTTAACGAGGTCAACTAAATTTAGTAGATTGTGTTGCATATGATATATTCATTATTATTTATATAGATATTTAAGAAAAACATCTTTTACATTTAAAATTAAAAATAAATATAAAGAATTGAATTACATTATACTATTTACGCTGATCTGTCCATACATAAAAGAGTCGCTCTGCAGTTAAGTTTTACATTTAATTATTTCGATGAAAAATAATTTGTAAGTGTGTTTTGTCGAGTTGTAACTGGATTATTTAGCGAATATTCAAAACTCATAATCTGTAAGTAATCAACAAACTGATTAGACACATTATTTGTAGCTACATAATCGCTTAATGTCTGAAATGCTGACATAACAGCAGAACGACTAGGTTTTTCTATCTCTTCTTCTTGTTCTTCTTCTTGTTCATCAGATAAGTCTGGAATGTTCACCTTGTTCATTACATATGGCAATATCATCATCGATTTCAACAAATTCATTGAATGTACAGTAATCCTGAATAGATATTTATACAATTTACATATATGTGTGTTATGTATTAATTATTATTATAACTTATTCTTTTCTTACCTTCGCATTTATATCAATTGATTTTAAATATTCCCACTCTGCACAGGGATTCTCGTCGGTAACAACTTCCAACAAAGGAGACTGATCGATGCCTGATCGAGACCATGCTTTTGTAAAACATTTTTGTATGCTTTCTGCAGAAACTGAGTTCCAGGCTAATATAATAGCTCGTATAGCATTTAAAATATTCCACTGACACACTTTTTGCTGACTTTCGATAGCTTGAATTGCAGCACGTACTAGTCGTTTACGATAATCTTTTTTAATTAAAGCGATAATGCCTTGATCCAAAGGTTGAAGACGGCTTGTAGTATTGGCAGGAAAAAATTGTGTTGTTATATTTGATAGTTCCATATTATTCACATTATGAGCAGTGCAATTATCTAAAGTCAATAAAATATGTCTATTTTGAGACGCCATACTGCTATTGAATTTTAATAGCCATTTACGAAATGCTACGGCATCTATCCAAGAATTCTGATGGTGTGTATATTGACAAGTTAAAATCGACAAATTAATATGTTTAAAACAACGAGGTTGTTTTGATTTTCTTATAATCCAAGCAGGCAATTTTTCGCTACCATCAGAATTGCAAACAAAAACAGCCGTTATTCTCTGCTTGCTCTTATTACCGCCATGGCACTTGTTACCCTTGAAGCTTAAAGTACGATCTGGATAAAGTTTAAAAAATATTCCAGTCTCGTCCATATTAAAAATATCTCGCGGAGCAAATTTTTGTTTAATATTTTCGAAAGTAGAAAGCCAATCATTCGCATGTTCTTCATTTACTTTATTTAATTCACCACAAACAGCTTGTGACGATATTCCGTGTCGAACTTGAAATCTCCATAACCAACCACTCGAACAATTAAAATTTTCGATACCTAAATTATTTGCTATAGATTTCGCTTTTTTCTGAATTAGCGGTCCACTGATTGAAATATTTGAAACTCGCATATGATTAAACCAATTTAATACTTCAGTTTCGACATCTTCATATTGTGCTCTACGAATGCATTTAGCTTTCGGAGTAACGGTTCCTGACGCAAGTGACTCATATATTTGTTTCTTATTTTGCTTCCTCATAGAGGAAGCTTTGTTTTCGTGAAAAAATTTTTTTTCCAGTTTTCTTTGGCAATATGTTTAAAATGTTTTAAAACGTCAAAAAATATTATTTTTACAAAATGTCTGTATGTGTGTATGTGTGTATGTGTGTATGTACGCACATTCGAATGTGATTGCTCTAACTTTCGTAAATTTTGAGATATCGGGCTAATTTTTTTTAAAACGTCGAGAATCACTAAAGGAAGGTTCGTATTGATTTTTGCGATGATCGGTAAACGGGTTTCTTTTTGACAAAAGTTTGAATTTTATGAGAAATGTCTGTGGTTGCTCTAACCTCCGTAAATTTTGAGATATCGGGCAAATTCTTTTTTTAAAAGGTCGAGAATCACAAAAGGAAGGTTGGTATTGATTTTTGCGATGATCGGTAAACGGGTTTCTATTTGAAAAAATTTTAAATTTTTTGAGAAATGTCTGTGGTTGCTCTAACTTTTGCAAATTTTGAGATATCGGGCTATTTCTAATTCTATTATTCTTTCCAGTCTTTTCTACCCCTATTTCATATATAATTTATTAATATTTGGTTGATTCGTTCCTGAGTTATATGTAGATGTTTGAAATTTCGCGGAATTATTATACTGGGTGTTTAAAGTGTGCAAATTAGAAGTTTGTACATGGCTTCCTCATAGAGGAAGGTTTAGGAGCGAACTCTAATTTTTTCGATGTTTCTTGAAAGTGTTCAAATTGTTGGCGTGAAAATCTCTTCTTCCCCTTTGTCTACCTATCACCTCTCTCCATCGGGATTGAGAGAGATCAAGCTCTCCTCAGTCGCGATGATATCTCTCCTAGGCGAGATCAAGCTATCTTTATTCGCTAAGATATATTAATATTATATCGTCTATATTTCAGGCAAATACGTAGAAAATCGATTTAACAGTAAACGTCCTCCCTCTCCTTCGGTCTTGAGCGAGATGAAGCTCTCCTCAGTCGTGAGGATATTTCTCTTTCACAAGATCAGGCTATCCTCATTCGGGAGTACGTTTTAATATCATATGGTGTAAATTTTACGCAAATACGTAGAAAATCGATTTAACAGAAAACGTCCTTAAACTTCTCCTTACGCACAAGAAAGTCGAATCATTTGCACGAACTTATTATTAGCCTCGCTTTACCTTGACGTGATCTATAACAGGCATGTAAGAAAAACGTCTTACCACGTTTTTGGAATCGTTTCTGTTGGTCCGTTGCTTTTAATATCGCGTATGCAGTGTTATTGAGGAAGATAAAGGAATAAGCAGAGTTCACAAAGATAGAAGTATATTATAAAGATCTGAATACTGTTACGGACGACACACCCGAGAATATACTAGTGACTATCGCTGAAAGGTTCGCATGCCTCTCGCAAGCATGAGACACCAGAGAGAAGAAGAGCTTACGGTATGAGAGCCGGCACTCCCCTCCCTGTACGAGAACCGAGAACAATCGACGCCTCACGGAGTCACACGAAGTTACTCGCGTAGCATTACCAATCCACCGTTTCGTTTTCACGCATAGATTTAAAGTATGCCAACTTTACCAGCTCAATACTCCCGCCAGTTCAATACTTTAATTCTCTTCTATTTTTCTCTTAAGATTAATTAACGAACATAAATACAAGAATCGTTCTCTAGGAACCGCTTTGGTGAAGATATCAGCCTGCTGTTCGCTCGACTGAACATACTCTACATTGATAATCTTCTCATCTACTTTCTCACGTATAAAGTGATATCTCAGATCTATATGTTTAGTTCTCTTATGGAACTCCGGATTACGTACCAATCTAATAGTGCTCTGATTATCAATGTATAGTGTTGTAGCTTCGGTTACATTATAATCGAGATCATTCAACAATCTCCTAATCCAAATCAATTCTTTCGCTGCCGCTGCAGCTGCGACATATTCGGCTTCTGTTGTACTCAGGGTAACAAGTCTTTGGCGTGACGACAACCAAGTAATTATACCGTTACAGAATTTAAACGTGAACCCCGTAGTTGACCTTCGTGTTTCATAGTCTCCCGCAAAGTCAGCATCAGAGAATCCTACAAGTTTGCAATCGCTCCCGCCGCTTTCGTACAGAATCCCGTGATTAGGAGTATTTAGCAAATATCTACAAATTCTCTTCGCAGCATTCCAGTGATTCAAACTATGATTATTTAGGAAACGACTAACTAGATTAACTGAAAACGCGATATCAGGACGCGATACTATTGCTAGAAACATTAGTGATCCAACCATTTCTCTGAAGGGTACATTCTGTAACAAATCTTCTTCGTTTTCTACTGGTAATAATGTAACATTAGGGTCGGACGGTGTACTTACACTCTTCGCATTCTGTAAATTGAATCTCTCAATTATACGATTTACATAAGCTGTCTGATGTATAAATAGAGTTTTCTTATATCTGTCTCTAACAATTTCCAATCCTGCAAAATAGTGCGGATTACCAGTTGTAACTTTAAACTTATTTCTGAGTAAATCCAAAATAACCACTAAATCATCATCCTTTTCCGCAGCAATAATGCCGTCGTCAACCAATAGAGCCAGATATACATTTCTTTGAGATATTCTTCCTCTAAAAATACAATGATCAGCTTCCGATTCCTTAAAACTACATTCTTTCAGAAAATCGCAGAATACATTATTCCAGCACCGAGGTGCTTGCTTCAACCCATACAGTGACTTGTTGAGCCTGCATACAGTACCATTCATTCCATTTTTTACTTCTAACCCACTCGGAATTTTCATATAGATCGTTTCACTCAGTTTACCATATAAAAACGCGGTCTTAACGTCAAACTGTACAATTTCTAGATCACGCTGAGCAACCATTGCTAAGAAAATTCGTAGAGTGTCGTATCTCACGACCGGTGAAAAGGTCTCCGAGTAGTCCACTCCTTCCTGTTGTTGAAAACCACGTGCAACAAGCCTGGCCTTGTACCTTTCAACTGACCCGTCAGTACTCTTGATGATCTTGAAGACCCAGCGAGAGTCGATTGGCTTCACACCTTCTGGAGCAGGAACAATCGACCACGTATTGTTCTCACGATGAGCCTCGAATTCCTCATCAATAGCTTTCTTCCACTCATCAGCCTGTTCACCATTTATCGCTTCGACATAGGAGTTTGGTACTGCAATTTCAACAAAATCAGCTGCAAACCTAATTGGTGGTCTTATACTTGCGCGATCTCTCAACGCTCTTGTCCGTTGAGCTTCATCACGCTGTTGATATCCATTTACATCAACGCGAGCCTCAATCGGCTCATCAGGATCTGGTTCAACCAGTTGAACATCGTCTGCTTCTTCGGCATCCAGGGAGTCTTCCTGGTCATCTGCAACTCTCTCACCGGCCTCGAATACTAATTCACCATCATTTTCTGAAATGTGACGTACCTTGGTTACTTGCTCGTTGAAGGTAACATTTCTAGAGATGCTTATCGACTTGGTGACAGGATTGTAGAGTCGATAGTGCTGAGATTGTTTCTCGTATCCCACGAGAATCATCTTCTTCGACTTGGAATCAAGCTTCTTCCTCGTCTGTTCAGGAACATGAACGTATGCATCAGAGCCAAAGATCCTTAAGTGGCTCAAATCAGGTTTCTCCCCGGTCCAGAGTTCGTAAGGTGATTTGCAGTCATCTTGAGTTGAGATGGTCCTATTTAGAACATAGACTGCCGTATTAACAGCCTCGGCCCACAGCGACTTCGGCATATTCTTTGAGTGCAGCATTGTACGAGCTGACTCAACTATTGTTCTATTTTCTCGTTCTGCTCGTCCATTCTGCTCCGGTGAATACGGCGCCGTTGTCTCCATCTCGATTCCTCTAGCAGCTAGGAACTGCTTGACCTCACGATTTACATACTCCGTGCCGTTGTCACAATGCATGACCTTCATAGATTGATTGAATTTATTGCGTAGTTTCGCCTCAAATTCTCTCAACTTCTCTATGACATCAGATTTATGTCTCAAGAAAAATATAAATCTGTAACCTGTTGCTCTGTCCTTGAACAGAAGATAAAATCTCGCACCACCCGCTGATGGCACGGACATTGGACCACAGACATCGGTATAGATTTTCTTACCTGGTTTCCATACCTGTTCTTTGTACGACTTCTTATTCGGTAGTCGGTGTGATTTTCCAAATTGGCAAGTTTCACAGAAGAAATCTTTGACCTCGTGGCAGTTTATTCCAGAAATTGACTTGTTTTTCATCATGTTCACAAGTGTGCGTGTGTTTACATGACCAAGTCGCTCGTGCCACGTTCGCAAGTCCTTGGATACAGTATTTGCTTCCTCTGCTAACGACGATTTCACTAGAATAAACATTCTACATATTTCGTTAGACTGCTTGACTCCTTGGGCGATGATTTCAGATTTGTCCTTGACGAACACCTTGTCGTCAACATAGGTTACTTCGAATCCTCGTTTCGTGCAGGCACCAACAGAAAACAAGTTTTTCTTGATTTGAGGAACGTACAGCACGTTCTCCATTTTCGCCTCACGCCATTTGCCATTTGCAAAGAGACGAACTTGAATTTCTCCTTGTCCTCGTACCTCACATGGACCGTCATTTCCAAGAAACACCTGTTCTATTTGACTCTGTCCAAGAC